GGAGCCGCATCCGGGGCTTTGGGCCGCCCCTGGATGGAGTCGGCCCCGGGCCTGTCTTTTTGATTCCCGAGGCCGCCGTGCCTGCTCCAGCGCCGGATGGTGCAGGCACCTCTCAGGGTTATGAACGAAGGATCCCGCGTGCGAACGCCATTATCAGCAGGGCTGTTGGCGCTTCTGTTGCCAAGTGGGCACGGCCGGTTTTATTCGTCATGTGCCGACTTTTGACTTCCTTTGACTCTTTGTTTGTGTGATATTTGATAGCATATTCCTCCTCCAGCACGAGGAAGGATGGTAATGTACAGCTTTTGGCTGTCACGCCACCTTTGCATAATATAGGTCAGAATAAATGAAGGCTTGCTTTGGGCAGCAGGTAAGTAAATCTGTATAACGATGTTGTGACCTCACAAGCCAGTAAAACTTGAGTCATCAAGTGTTCCAGTGCAATGCTGAGTTATGCTAGCAAATCTGAGAAACTTCTCTTTCCTAGTTGTTTTTTTCAGTAATCCCCAGGGATCAGAATATAAAATCGTTTAATACGCAATTCTGTAGGCCGAAGTATTTGCGCGGTACGGCAAGTCTGTGCTGAAAAGGCATGCATAGGTTCAGTTAGGCTGAACAGGTACAGCTGAGATCTCAGCTGGAGCTATTACTGTTAACAGTCCTGTTCATTTCTGTATAAAGAATGCTTGGATGGCATTCCACTGCTGTGCCTGTACTAGCCATTGCATAGTTTCTGAAGGAGGTTCAGGAAAGTGAACTTAAATTTTGACTGCAGTGATAAGAGATACGTTGGGTCAATATACTTATTTGACCTTATACTAATCATGGGACACTCTGCCAATTCTTTCCCACGGTCTTGTTTGGTCTCTATTTTACCTCTTTTTGGTATACTTACTTTTCCATCTCATATACTTAAGGGAAAAGTATCGAGCAGGCCTCTTGAGTTGAATGACGCTATGTGAGAGTATAAATGAAAGCACACTTTCACTTCAATATTGCTTCTGGTCAAAATCATCTTTACAATAAGTGTATTTTGTGTTCTCAGCTTTTGCTGTATAAAAGGAGGGACAGTTTGGCTTGTTTGCCTATCCATGAGAGTTGTCGGTGTTAAGAGCATGCTAGTTGTGAACTTCATTCACACATTATATACACATTGTTGAAAACCTGTTGTACCAGTTTGACTGTAACAATTTGGGGTTTTTACTTACATTGAACAACAGGGAAGCAATTGACCAGTTGATTTTCTGGCATTTGACGAGGTGGTCCTCCTGTGTAATCGACTGAAAGCCTTGAGACACAAGTGGCATGATGCTTAAGTTTTGAGGAACTTAGAATTGAAGTTCTAAGTTCTTTCTCAAGATCAGTGTGATGCCTTTCATTAATAGTGCACATCTGAGTATCTGTCAAATTCTTCTCAGTTGCTACAGGATAAACTGGAAGTGAAACCCATGAAATCAATAGAGATAAGCTTGACTTACCTGGGTGTAATGGAGAGCAGGAGGCTGCCGTAGTTGCTTAAGAAACACAGAGTAAACAAGATAAGCCATGAGTCATGTTGCACATTTGAGGGGGGTGAAAGAATTGGAGTGTGCTGAAACTTCTATACGCTCACCATTTTAAACTTAATGGTGGGCACAGTTTGGACTAGAAACTACTTATATACTGTTAATAACTAGACGTGTTATAATAAGAGACTCTCAGTAAGACTCGCCTCCAGCTTCTTTCCTGTCTTTACGTAGCTAGTCTGCTTCCTGTACCTTTTTGCAGCTCAAAGCTGCCTTCTCCCACTTACTTCACATTAAACTCTAAAGTGATGCTGAATTCAGTAAGATGTCCTTTTACTACTTGCTGAAAAGGCATTTTATTAATGAAGTCAGATATTAAAACATCATATTTGTGTTGGGAGAGGCAGAAGTAGTCTTATAATTACCAATAACTAATGAGTAAGGAAATGAGGTGTGGAAATATTACACAATGTAGCAAAGTGTTAACTGCTGAACTGCTCAACCCTGCCAAAATAGTGGCAGTACCGGGTGGGCAGGCCCTGGGGTATCCTAAAGCAGAGTAGGCTTCGGTGCCTCATGGCTGGGTTGGGGTCTTAGGCGTTGCACTATTGGTGTGTTCTAGATGCAGGTTTGGGTTAGGTTTCCAAAAATACTCTTGCAGGGCTGGCTTCTGTTGCATGGGATGCAATCCATGTACACGGGAGTGTTGGTCACTGTACTTCTAGGGGCACAGCTGCTTCCTGGTTAATGCCTGGTAAGGGACCATGTGAGTGTTACTGTGTTTCACTGCAAAGTCAGTTGGCTCATCCTAAGTTGTCATCTTCAGGGTATAAATTAGTGTTTGTGCTACTAGTGTTACTTTCCTCTCTCCTCTTGAAATGAATTCTTTAGAAGGAATATGCATGTCTTTAAAAGATACAAAGCTGCTATCCATTTGAGTAATAGACTACTGGTATGCTCTTTTTATTTCACCTTTCATCAGTTGTCTTGGCGGTTTTATTAATGTTTAATGTATGATGAGACACGCTTTTAGATGAAGTAACATTGTAGAAATGAGAATCGATGTGAAACTATGTGGTAAGCTTAGGAGGTAGGTTGCATGTCCCTCTAAGGAAGAATAATTTTTTCTCCATAGCAACACATCGTAGCTTGACAGAAGCTCGTGACTTGGTGTTCTACTTGACCTGCCTCCTGTCTGTATCCGACAGACAAAAGTAAACCAGTGGAAAATCCGATATGTGTGCTGCTTAGAGGCTGCCAGGATGACTCCTGTTTTAAATTGTAGTGTATTACCCACCAGGAATGGGTAATTTTGTAAAGCTTTACAAAAGGTTCCTGACATATGTCAAGACCTGTGAAGAAGGAATTCAAGTGTGGTGACAGTTTCAAATGGTGGTCTGTAAGCAACATTAACAGCTATTGTACAGTTACATTGATTAGTGGACTTGTCCTGTAGAGACACAAAATAGATGCTGGGATCAGATCTCAAATGATCTCATCCTGTGTCTTCAGAATGCCATGGGTCTCTTAGGCGGGAGTACCATAAATGGTGTGAGTCGTTATATGAAGTACTATTTTTGTTCACCCTTTCCTTCTGTTGCAGTCAATCCTTACAGTAAACCTGTAGGAGGCGAACCCTGTGTTTGAATCTTCAGTTTGCAGTAGGAACAGCCAAGCATTCAAATTCAGGTACTATTTATACATTGAATCCTGGAGCTAGGAGTAGAAGGATGTTATTGAAATGAACTACTACATTGTGGAAACAATATAATGATCTTATTTAGACTGACTCTCTGTCAGGTTTTGACATAAGTTTTTGGCTACTTTAAAGTTCCTTTAGATGAAGACACAGTGTGATGAGACACCTTTGTTTGGTGGAAACAGGGCCCGATGAGACTAAATTCTCAACAATCAGAATATGGTCTGTTTAGAGTAATTGACTGTGTTTATGAAAATTTTAGTCCAATGAAGCCTATAAATACTCAGAACACTTGAAGCGTGTTGCTGTGTTTAAGCCAAAGAAAATTCAGAATTCCGTCAAGCGAGGCAGGCCCCTGTGCTGTGTTACAGTGCCACATCTCAGTGTGGGAGGTCAGGTGAGAACAGGGCCAGGTGTGTATTGTTTCCTTCTATGCTTTTCTCAGGCCTTTAAAAACTACAGCTAGATAGTGCCTCAGAGCTTGAAACCTATCATAGCTGTTCCTAATCCAGAAAGCACATACATGTTTAGTGACTGAGCTAAATATGTCCTTGAATATTTCTCCACCGTGTATTAAGATTTTTGTGCTTTTCTTTATTTTGTAACTTCCCTTACATGGCAAAACTAGAGGGCTAGTAGACAACCTTCACTGAAGCCTCTTCATTATGTTGTAGCTTGGCTAGAAACATACAAAAAGCTCTAGTTACTTTGGCAACTTCTTAGAAGAAACATGGTCATTTTTGATCACACAATACCTACTCTTAGAAATTGTCATATGTGATATGCAGATTCACAGTCTCATAAGCTTCAGCGCTTTCATGTCTGTGTGTCATTCTTATGTGAAATGAAGTTGTCTCTCACCTTAACAGTATACCAAAAACTGGTACTGTAGATATAGAGTAGACTGACATCTTCAACTCTTTACCAAAACAGATGTCACATCATGTGATTGTGGAAAACGGGAACTACTTAGTTCTTTTAAACTTTGCTTTTCAGACCACAATAGGTGTTATGATTATGTCTGATTATGGGGACTTAATTGTGAAATACCACAAACATCTTCAGTAATATATCTGACTTCATCTGTAAGTAAACATGTAAGTCATTTTCATTTCAATGTGTACAACTTCAAAAGCTTTTAACTGATACATGCTGTAGTCTCCAAGTTTCCATATAAAAGAGCAAGATGAATATAAGTGTGTTTTCATAACACTTTAAGCATCCAAGGAGATAAAATGAATTTTTTTAATACGAACTTGATAGGTTTTTTCCTGAACAGTGACAGGGTACAGTGAATGATTAATTCTTCCTCTTGTTGCTGCAAAGTGCAAGAATGCCGGGCACCAAATATGGGAACCCCCATGCCTGGAAGATCTCTCAACTGCATGTTGAAATGCTTTGCTAAATCCCTGTCTTGAGACAGCAGTGTGTCCCAGGTAGACAAACAAGGTAAACTGGTAGATCTTTTAAGATGACTGTAGGGTGGGGATGCCTCTGTAGCAGAGTAGTCTTATTTAATGGAAAAAGTCTACCAAGTATGTTCAAAGTCAAAAATACCAGTGTAACTTGCAAGGAATGATGAATGAAGGTGCAAGGGATAGTTTGCATCTCCCATTTATGCTGTTTCAGATTCTTGGAATCTAATTCATAGCTATGACTTGAGAGAGTTTATCCAGGTCCTGAGGGAGCAGCTTCTGCAAGGCATGTTGGAGAGCATACTCGCGACTTGCATCTCTTCCTTTTTAGGCTCATTTTATAGAGATTCTGTTGCCTGAAATGGACCAGTGAGAAGACCCTGCTAGTGCTTTGCTGTTGCAGGGAAGAGTGGTGCTCAGGACAAAGAACGGGAAGGGGAAGCTCGGCAGCTGATAGCAACATCTCTGCTACTGCCAAGGGTGCAAGTCTGCTGTACAGGGGTGGGGGGCTCTGTTAATGTCTGTCTGTGGAAGGTGTAAAAAGTCTACTGGGGTACTCTTTACGTATTGTTAGTATCCTTCGTGAGGGAAGCAGATAAATATGAATGCAGCATTTGAACAAGTGGGGAGGTCTTTGGAAGCAGTGCAAATTACTGTTTTGCTCAAGATACAGTGTTGCGTTGGATTTCTGGAGGTTAAGTGGCAGTCTACTTTGTTAGTGTGTTACATGGACTCACTGGTTGGGGTATGATGTTGTGTGGACGCATCCTCAGGCCCTTCCCTTTTATGTTGGACTTATCTCCCAACTGATGCAGTTTGACAAGACTGATTTTAATAATCTTTAGTACTGATTTTTGAGTTATCATTGTGTGTCATAAATTTATGTAGTCTTGGCAGATGTAGATAGAAAAAGGACAACATTTGTTTTTAGTATTGTAGGATATGTACCCCGTAAAGAGAGAGGAGTTGCGTATACTTGAGCTGTGACTGAATTTGGCTTCCTGTAAGATTACAGTCTAATAACTTAAAGTTGTAGAATGCAGAGCTATGTGAATGACTGGCACTAATTATTTCGGAGGTGAAGGGAGAAAGAATAGAAAGAGGGGAGAAGAGGAGAAGGGAATATCATGATTGGTTTTATATATAGTACCTCTGGTTTACAAAGAAAATGTGAAATTTGTGAACACCCGAAGACATGATGCTGTTCTTACTGTGGTGCTGGTGTTTTTTCTATGCAGTATTTGTAACTGTGCCCTTTGGAACTCTAGTCATAGATTACAGAGCAATGAATTACTAATTGCACCAATTACATGTCTTTAAGTGTTGGGTTTTTACCTGCGTCTTGTAGGTAGCACGATAGGAAGCCAGAAACACCCACTAACTTCTTGATGGATCACTTCCTTTTAAATATTCTTTACATTCTATAAATTAGCTGAAATAACAAGCTAATGAATAAATGATTGGTAATTATTTGTACCAAGCAGCCCTGCCTTTCACACACAATTCAGTTTTGTAACCAGAATGTGAAGGCTTATGCACTATATACAAATCATGATACTAAGTAATATAAAAATTAAACTGTGAATTTAAAATAAAATTCTACATAAAAGCATTAAGATTTCTAGTGTATTGCATTTCCTGTCTTTACGTTGTAGCTGTGAATGTGTTAAAGCTCGTAACTTTGGCACAGAGTAATCTTAAGAACTCATCAGACCACTTACAGGGTGTCAGGATTTTTAGGTATATATAAAGCCTGTCTGTAAGTTTTCTGATTTGTTTTTTTTTCAACAGACCTGCTGGCTTAGGTTTCCACACCAAATACAGAGGACTTCTCGAGGAGTAGGTATTCAACACTGCAATATGCTTTACATAAGTCAGAAATGTAAAAATAAAATTCTTCAGTGTTTCAGTCTACTTGTGGCCTTTCACATGGGTGTTGCCTTGCTATGCAGGACTTTGAAAGCAGCTGTATTAACAAAATATACAGTAGAGAAAGAACAAAAGTAGCAGAAATTAAAAAAAAAAAAAAGAGAAAAGAAAAAGGCAGCAGTGTCATGACCAAATAGGTCAGCACAGGAGCATTGTAGTTATGTGTGAAGGGCCATTAATAAGAAAGGTCATCTAAACAGCCTTCCTATATCTATCAGTAATTAGTAATTCTTTACGTGGTCACCATTTCTTTTAATCTAGTGAATTTTCTTTATTGCTTGGGGTTAAAGTTTTTAGACAATGAGAAAAGAAATGGCACACCTTGAAAAATAAACATTTTCCTCTTGGGGCTGGGCCTACATAAAGGTGAGGTGATCCCACAGTAAATCTGTAACAAGAAATGGCAGGTTTTACGAGTCAGGCACACTGAACATTGTTTCCCAGGACTTCCAAGCAAGGACTGGCATCTATTTGGTTCCTGCTCTATTGTTGTCAGCATGCCCGCTTTAAAATGCATCCAGTTCTCCATCAGAGAAGTTGGTGAACCAGGAAGTGGCACAGAGACAAGTGGTTGCAACTATGCAAAATCTGACAGCGTATTAAATGCAGAACAGCAGAGTTAGATTCCCTGTTGAACTGAAGTGAGGGTCATTGAATGTTGGAACAGGTTGCCTGGGGAGGCTGTGGAATTTCCATCCTTGGAGATGGCCAAGACTCAATTGGTTGTGGTCCTGTGCAACCTGATCTAATACAACATGCTTTGAGCCAGGGTTGTGCTCGATGGCCTCCAGAGGTTCCTTCCTACCTGAATTACTATTTGATGCTGTGAATGGGCAGTTTGTACCTGAGAGTTAGTGTGCCAGGCTCCCCACAGAATCAAGTACATGTTTTCCTGCTGGCTATGCCCATGGCGTATACCCTTCCCGGGCCTGAGTTTCTGCCCTCCAAGTGGAAGGCAAGGTCCTTTCAGCATTCCTGTTTGTTCTACTAACTTGCAAATTACTGGTTTTAATCTGAAACTTTTAACACCCACATAACTATTACATTTCTATATTACATTGCTATCTAGCAAGGGGCTTTTGTTTGTATGAACATCTTGTAATGTGAGAAAAATGCATGTGCCTGCTGAGGAAAAGCATACGTTTTTTTCCCAGTCGCTTCTGTTCTGCTGCGCTGGTAGTGGCTGAGACTGGCTTGAAGTCTGGAAAATAACTGTAAGAACAAAAGTAGGGAATGAAGAGTATGTTTGTGCTTATCCTTTTAGTTGTTGCAATATAAAATCCACTCATTTGGCAGATGAAGTGAAAAGTGCCCCCCTTCACACGCTAATTGCCAGCTCTCTAAACCTCCTAGGAATTTCCGTTTGGCTCATGTCATTCTCAGCAGTGAAGGTTTTGTACTTAGAATTTAGTTAAAGTTTTGTCATATTTCTGAGCCAGAACAGCACTTCCCTTGTTCTACATTTTTGTTTGTGTAGTTCAGATAGCAGTAGGGAATAGCAACAATTTGTGTTGATTAGAATTCACTCAGAGTGTGTGTATGACTCTTCTCAGTAGTTAGTGGGAGTCCAGCACTCGGATCCTGTGGTCCGAGGAGCCATGCATGGAGTACAAGATGGGTTGAGGTTGCAGTGTCTTCGAGGGGGAGACTCTTTTTCTGGCCAGAGTAGTTTTTAATTGTGGTATTTGGTTTGGGTTTTTTAAAATTATTTTTAAAATGATTAATCTATTAGCCTTTCTTAATTTCTTGTTAGAAGATCGTGGTTGGGAACGCCTCCATAAACTTCAATAAATGTAAACTATTTTTTTTCGTAATGGGAAATTCTGAACAGCCCTAACCATATTGGCAAGGGCATGAAACTGAATTGATGAGTAGATTTTTGTTGACAGATTATTACTAGAAATTGCAATCAAGCTGGATTTAGGAGTATACTAAGAACACTATTTTTCTAAACTGATACCAAACACCTTTATCTGAGTGTGCGCTAACTTGAGTTGACACTATTGTGCATAACTTGCTGTATTATGGGAGGTAAATAATTTGCTGCTTATTTCACTGTGTAGTACCACATCGTCATCTTCCCTTCCGTTGAGAAATCTATGATAATCTTATGAATTTTGGGTTTTTTTGAGATTAAACATGAAAGTATATCTCTTTTAGTAGAGGGATAGGAAAGATAAAGGAGGCAACATGAATGTATTCAGATGTCTTCGATTTTTTTCAGACACCTGCAACAAATACACGAGCATTTTCAACTTCCTTTATGTTTAGTTTCTGTAGGCTAGAACTTGTTGGACTTTGGTCTTTTGAGGACTTCTACTAATTACAGTGGAGCAAACAAAATGATTAAAACCGGATTTTGCAGATTAGAACAGCCGTGCAAATCTTGTCGAGAGTTACTTTATTCAGAAACTACAGTTGCTCAAGGCAGCCTGCAAAATAGAAGATATTTGGAACAATTTTTGGCATGTGCTTTATGTGTACCCTGAAGTGCTCTGAAACTTACTGCAAAGTAATGAAGAGATTGAGCTGCAGGTTGGTCTCCTGTCTGTCTTGTACGGAGTGCTGCTCCCGTAGGATTTCACACATTGAGGGAAACCACAGGGACTGATGCCCAAAGGAAGAGATGAGGCATAATTTCCCCTTAAACCTTGTGTTCTAGAGCAGGGTTTTGGGGTGGGTTTCCCTGCCTGCTTCCTGCGCGTCCTGCCAGAGGCGATGGCAGCGCCGTGGAAGTGTGGGAGCAGATGGAAAGCGGCTGTGGCGGTGTGCTGTGGGCCTTGCGTCTCCTCTGCCCCGTTGCTCTCTCCGCAGCCCTCCATGTGTGGAGCAGCCCTTGCTGTGGGGCCCTTGCGAAAAGCCCAAGCCTGTAACCCCTGCAGAGCTCCAGGGCTAGCCTGGGCTTTGCTCTTCGCGGGGCTTTGCCTTTGAAGACAGGCCTCAGCAGTTACAGGCTGATGCTTGGAGCGGGGGCTGCTGCAGTTTGCTTTTTGAAAAAAGTATGTTTTCACACACAAAAATGGTAAAGTATTCTGGCCCTTTGTTGAGAAGCGTATGCCTAGGCTGTATTTCAGGCTTGTTTCCTGCAGTGCTCCAATTGTATGCCATGCATTCAACTTGTAGTTAATTTTACATGTAACGTTTCTTATCTGCAGGACAGTTACTAGGAAATACATGCAAAAATGGAAGATAACTGTGCTTCTATTTGTTACAAGTCTGTTGTTTGTTTTAAATTTTTGTCAGGGCTTCAGTTTGAAGCCTCCTCAAACCCTAAGGGGGTAGAAGTGCTAGTCAGGCAAGACCTTTGTATTTTTTTTTGTCAACAGTTAAATAGTTAATTGCGATTTGTATTTTTATCTTTATAATTCATAATTAATAGACCACTGGATTAAAGAGGACAGTTAAGACAGTATTTGTTCAATTTTACTGACATATTGACAAATTTCATGTATAACCAGGAAAGTCACAGGCTTTTAAAGTTGTTCTCTTTCATGATTTCATCCTGTCTTCATCCTGTCCCCCATCTCCTCCACCACAAATTGATACCTGTAGGTGTAACTTTCGAGTGCTGGTAAGAAACCTTAAAATGTTTGAATGGGAAAGTTTTATGCAAATAATAAATAATGCTTTCTTAAATCTATCTTTGCCGAGTGTTTTATCTCTTTAGGAAAATGCTGAGTGTGTGTTAAATTCTGAAAACAAAATATAGCTCTGAAATATACGCTTAGGTGTTTTCCTGTTTTGACTCCCAAAGTGACCAATATGATGCTTTTCTTAGTCAGGGCTGTGCCATGCTGCTGTTGCTTTATGGCCTGCTGTAATTTGGAAAAGTCAAATGCTGAATTTTCTCTCAACAGAAAATTTTTAAAGCTGGAGATACTAACCAGGACGGACAGCTAGATTTTGAAGAGTTTATGCAGTATCTTAAAGATCATGAGAAAAAGATGAAACTGGCATTTAAGAGCCTGGACAAAAACAATGATGGTATGCCTCCATTTATTTTATTTGTTAAAACATTGTTTGAAGAAACTGCATTAAAAGTTATCTTCATATATATTCTTTGTCTAAACTGCAGACAAAACTTTGTGACTATGGAACTCCTGCTTCTTTTCCTTAGTAGGATCATAATTATAGTTTACTTTAGGTTGAAATAATAAATGATTATAGTCTCTTTTCTTTTTATTATCTTCCAGGTCCATTGATCTGGGGCTTTTTGTTCCCCAGATGGAGAAACTATAAGGAAGTTTCTAAGTATCTATTAAAGATAAAATAGTTTTTAACTCACTGAATGTTTGCATCTCGTTTGGTTGCATGATTTTAATGTACTTACCTTCGCTCAGTTCTTGTAGTAGGCAATCAAAATACATAATCTGTGTTTAAATTGATTTTAAATTATGTTTGCTCTTTTGTAGGTGTTACAATGGAACTTAGTGAGCTCCAAGGTACTGAGTATACTAAACTCCATGTTTTAAACATGTATCGTCTTTCTTTTCATGTTTCAAGGGAAAATTGAAGCATCAGAAGTTGTCCAGTCCCTCAAGATATTGGGTATAAGCATTTCAGAAAAACAGGCAGAAAAGATCCTGCAAAGGTCAGGAATTGTTATTTCTTAAAGTGTTTTATGGTTCTTTGTATTGTTAATTATTATATATTTATAATTCAGAGAACAGGATAAATGGGATTACAGCTTTGAAAGGTGTTGGTACCTTCAGTGGTGCCTTTATAGAAATTCTCACATATTCCACCTGTTCTTGTGCGATAGTAAGTCTAGTCACCATTTGAGTATCTGGTTCTGGGAGGAGATTGGTATCCCATTTCCCTGTAAATGTTGTTGATAGAATGAAGCATTGTATTATATTTTTAAATGGAATATACCAGATGCACATGGATAAAGAAAGCATAGTATTGAAAGGCCGTGGCAGATTCAGCCTTGAAGTCTCCGTATGGACTTTACAGTCAGTTGTCACTGATATTAAAAAAAAAAGAAAAGAGGGGGTGGAATCAACAAAACAGAACAAAACCCCATCCCTGCTACAATGTCCTTACATAGTTTTGTTCAATTGCTTTTCAGTATTGATGCTGATGGGACAATGACAGTAGACTGGAATGAGTGGAGAGATCATTTTATGTTTAATCCAGCTACAGACATTGAGGAAATAATTCGATATTGGAAACATTCCACTGTAAGTTCAACTTCTCTTTTAACTTAGTGCAGCTCTTAAATTCATCTCTGCTGGGCTTATTTGCAATATTGAGTATAACAGCTTCACAGCTGTTATATTTCAAGCATACTTGTATTTAAGATCGCTTGATTTTCCTTTTCACTTTGTGTTCTCCCATTTACAAGCAGGGTAGCGTCATGTGACTTTCTTCTGAACAAAGAACTTCATCTAAATTTTGCCAATAATTATCAGTAATTCTTAGGGAGGAATCCTTTTCTTCCTTTGGAGATATTCCACAGAAAGATAACAAACACAGTATTAAACCTTTTTCTTTTCACATTATGGTACATTCTTATGTTCAGTGCTTTTGATGTGTTGAAACAAGTTATAGAAACATTTTAACTGTTTCTTATGCTGAAATTAGTTCAGTATTTGCATTTATGTAGTAACATTGTCATTATAAAATCACTCGTGTCATTAGTGATGATTTTCTGTGCACACTCTTTTGTGCTATAGAATTTCATTTAAGAATGACAGACTATACAGCAATGGGCTATCCACTGTGCAGATAAATTTTTCTAAGTTGCTATTGAATGAAGCTCTTTCCACCTCAGTGACTGACTTTTAAGAACAAATTAATAACGTAAGTAACCCAATAGCAGTCTGGTTTGATAAATATTCTTCCTATAGATTATTGGAGTACTCTATAAAGTTAGGTAAAGACAGATTTCTTTGAATATAGTGAGACCATTTATGTCTTCAGGGATTAGTCAGCATTTCCATAATAAACAATTTATGAGATCTGAAAGCTTTGAGTATTTCACACTGCACAACCTCAGTTCAGAAATGCTTGCCAAAAGGGAGTTAGCTCCCTGTTTGCTGAAGAAAACACTTGAAGCACTGCTATGAGATCAAACAGTCCCGGTCCCAGCTAGTAGTGGGAAAAAAACCCCATTGCTTTAAGAAAATGCTTTGTATTGCTGTTATTAACACAAGATCTATTTTTTTTATTATTATGGAATGTCATTATTTACCCCCAAGAAACAATTTTAGAAGTCTCTTGTGATCTTCCAGTCTTGCAGTCAGCTGATGACCCAGTTATCACAGCAAGCAAAATCCAGCTATACGGCAACACAGCTGGTGTTTCAGATAAGAGCAGATGTGAGACCTCACATGCCTGGTTGGCATCAACAGCTCTTCCAATTTTGTTTTTATTGTAAAATTTTAATTGCCGTCAGGCTCTTCCAAGCAGATAGCTGCATTAGCGTAGAATTATTCTGAGTTGGTAGCTGTGGCCTTTCTATTACGAACAACCTCAAATTTAGCTTTTTTTCTTAGTTGTGTTTAGGGCTTGGTAGACACAAGGTTTAAACACTGGTAGATATGCATAATATCTCTGACAACATTGAATTTATATTTTGAGAGTTCTGATTGATCTTCTGATGACACCCTGTAGTTGAGCAACTGATGACACCTTACTTGGAAACCATGAATGTCAGAAGGATGAAAGGATTTTCCAATTAATCTGTTCTGTGTTCAATATCCAGAATAGTTGGCGCTTACCCTGTTTGTCTCGTGGCTATATGTATAATCTGCATCCTGCAATTGTTGTGTTCCAAATGACAGTATTCTGCCTACTTAACAGGTAGGGAACACAGCATAAATTAGGGATGGAGTGTCTACAATTAAAATCAACAGTAATTAAAAAAAGTTGATCTGTTAACATGCTTTCTGGTCAGTATTTATCAGTTATTAAAACATTCTTGCTTCTTTTTTGGTTTCATTTATGCATAATATTGGCTTTGCATTATCTACAGTGTATTTTTTTCCTCATATATCCTGGTTATAAATTACATGAAGAGCAGAGACTATGTGTAAGTGATATGTGAGATTCCATAGTCTTATATCTTGGACGGCATTATTGCTAAAGCCTATGTTCTTTGATCAGATTGAATAGTAATAGAAACATGCACCTCTTAATGAAATTTCAAACTTTTATAGCTGAAAAGAGTCATTAATATGTCTTTCAATGTAACTGATAAGAATATGTAAAGCATTAGTCAAACTTCCCATTTTGTAAGATAGTACACAGCAGTTACCAGAAATAGAATGTTCCAATATATCAGCTATAAAAATGCTACTTTTAAAATATTGGGGGGCAGAGGGGAAATCCCACATACGTGTGAATAAATTACCATGAGAGAGAAATCTCTTGTTAGCATCCTTAGGAGATTACCAAACTAATCTCAGAAGGTTGTCCGGTGAAAGGTTAGCTGCAACATATAAGCATTTGAGCTTTAGTGCTGACTGTAAAGGTCTACCAATCATGACAGAATGTCTTTGTTTGGGCCATACTCAAGGCAGAAATTTGTCATAATTTTTAATGATGATGGTGCAGTCTTTGAAATGGTAGGTCTGTGATGTTACTGCTCAATATCTATGCAGAAGTCATTAGAAGTTGCTATTCATTGAATAGCAATAGCAGTCCATAGCAAGTTAATTACAGAATGTAAATTAAAGATATTTTTATTTTTAGGTAGCATTTTATTTACATATTCTCAGGTCGTAGGCTAATTTGGAATTAGTACTGTTGATAAAATTGAGGTGATGGAATGAGATAGTTATTTGCACGTCTTTGCTTTGGATTCTAATAGGTGTTGGATATAGGAGATAGTTTGACTGTTCCAGATGAGTTCACAGAGGAAGAGAAAAAGACTGGACAGTGGTGGAAACAGCTGTTGGCAGGAGGAGTGGCTGGTGCTGTCTCTCGAACAGGTACAGCACCGTTAGATCGCCTTAAAGTAATGATGCAGGTGGGTGCAATGTTCAGGAACTTCTTAGTTTCTAGTGTATCACTTCAATTTTTAGGAAGTTGTTATGGAAAACTGATGGCCAAATACAATATCTAAATTCTGGAGGTCTAGTTATATTTTATGCTCATAAAATTTTTCTTTTCCATAGTCATATTGGCAAAAATGTAAACAAAATATTACAGTACTTGTGCCACTAAAATAAGTTGTTTTTTCAATAGTGGATGTGTTTTTGCTAGTTGATATATTTAAGCAATTTAATACTTAGGTGATGAGTTTTACAATCTAATCAGAGCAGTGTTCTTTACTGTGACTTTGGGTTTTTTTTAGGTTCATGGTTCAAAATCAAACAAAATGAATATAGCCAGTGGTTTTAAGCAAATGTTGAAAGAAGGTGGTGTCCGATCCCTCTGGAGAGGAAACGGTGTAAATGTTGTGAAAATAGCTCCTGAAACAGCTATTAAGTTCTGGGCTTATGAACAGGTAGGGTGATAAATCAGAAATGAAAATAATGGTAAATAAAATACTGTATCACTCCACTGTTCGTTATTTGCACTGTTGTATTATATAGGAGTTCTTATCATGGTTGAGGATTTTGTCACAGTAATTTAGAGTGATTTTCAGATTTAAAATAGTCTGTTTATTCTGTTAATAGTATACTTGGTATTAGGCAGATCTTGCTATTGTATTATAAGCACTGTAAATAAGCTAAAATCTATAATACATTTTAAACTGTCTTCCAGTCTGCATAGCTTTATAGAGAGAGTACTGCATTAATATCCAGTTTATTACTTCGAAGTGACAACAACCAAAAACTTAGCACATTATGCTAGCTGAACTTAAAAAGAATCCCATTTAAGTCAAATATCATGGTGCTATGTAAGTTGCCGTCATCCTGGATTTCAGAGTTATATTTACCTCTGAATCAGCTTTAAGCATCATGTTAAGGCCTAATCCTCCTTTGGAAAATGAACTCCTGTTCTGGTGTAGTTAAATGATCTTTATTTGTCCTTTGTGGGGCTTGCTAGTGCCTCAAGCAAGACTAAGTGAACATATTGCACATCTCTGTACAACTATGAAATAAGAGCAACAAAAAGTCAAGTGAACTTTGGGATATTGCAAGACTGAACAGCAGATTTTGATGCCGTAAAGTAACTTTGAGCACATTATTCCTTACTCTTGCTCTGCCTTTCGAGAGCTGATGGCACGTTCTTGCATGGTGGTGTCCCTGTCTTGAATGAGAGTATGTATAGCTCTAAGTGTCTCTGTGAACATGCTAGCTGATCTTTCATTCTCTGATAGAAGAACTGGATCTGCAAGGGAGTCGGGTTCCTCTTTTGTTATATGGGGGCAGTAGTGTGGGTACCCTTGTGTTGGTTGTTTGCAGGATACCTGACAGTACCATGGGTGGATGAGGTAATCCTTTAATGTAAAGGATTCTTGCAGGCTGGGATATTTATTGCATTCTTGGGAATCTTTGTCCACAGAGTTGCAGTGAGTATAGTGCTAAATTTGTTGGCTCAGTAAAAGTAACTATAAATACATGAAAAAAGTACGTACAGCTTGAAAAGACACTTTGTACTGTCCTCCTGCCTCTCGTAGTAACACTTGCCACTCTGAAAAAAGCATGTGATGTTTATTTTATGGTTTTTAACTATACAGTATAAGAAGATACTCACTAAGGATGATGGAAAGTTGGGCACTGTTGAAAGATTTGTATCTGGTTCTTTGGCTGGAGCAACAGCACAAACTTCTATTTATCCCATGGAGGTAAGTAACAGAGAATCTGCTTCCGTTGGAGACTCTGCCAAATGTCTGGTTCATTTCCAAAGTAAACTCCATTTTGCTCTTGAAGGTATTGTAGGAGTTCCTCTGTATTCTTATATCCTAATTTATTTTTACCTTGGACTTACTTTCAGAACTCCAGTCCCAGGCATTTTAGAATATACTGTGTTCCTTATAATTTTTCTATATATTTGGCTGTATAATATTGTCTAAAGCAATGTTTAAATAAAGCCTAGTTCAGGGAAAAAAAAATCCAAGAAAGCATTTAAAATTAAGTACATATTCAAGTATTTTCTAAATTGGGTATAAATCTTTTTCCCACTGTATGTAAGCAAGGAATGGTTTTGTCTGCAGCAGAACTGATGTTGCATGATGATTGATAGCTGGGTCTGATTAGGAAATCAGTATGGAGGGAGAATGTAACAGCTACAGCTGAGGCTGGGTGGGTTAGCTGCTCTTTCCTCTGTGGGACATATTTGTATGTGGTACTACACATGTTGCAATTTAACTAGCATTAATGTATTAACTGCTCTAGGGTAGCTATTTCACATCCTGCTTTCTTTTTTTAAATAGCAGTAGGATGTACTTTCTTTACTGCTGGTTCCTCAGAAAGTTTATCTTGTGCAATAACTGGAATATATGTTGGGTCTGGGATTAAACCAATACCAGCATCAAGACTTGGAAGTAATGGAAAATTAAACTTAAATACCTTTTTCGTAGGAGGGGTATCAGTAGGAATAGAATTTAGTTGTTTTCATTGCTGACAGTGATAATGATCCCTTTTTTAAAGAGCATCCTTGCTCTTAGAGCCGCTAGTCTGAGTACAGAGATGGGTTAAGTTAGAATAACGGAAGTGTTATGTAGATCATCTGCATTACACTCATCAGTGGAGACAGGTGAACTATTCTACAATAAGATGCTCTGATCTTTCCAACAAAGATATAATACTGTCCTAGAAGTGTTTTTTAGGGTGTTTTGAAGTAAAAGGAAAGCAAAGTGCCAGGAAACTCCTGAGGAAGCTGCAGTCTTAGGAGGCTTTAAAGTAGGCCAAATTCTTGCTCAGGAAATCTCCCTCTGTGGTTTCTTTTGGATACTGTTACTAATTTCTTTGTCCTAAGGTGCTGGAGAGATGACTTTGCATTATTAATCATATGCTAGGTTTCAGTAGTGAGACTAAGTCTTTATATCCCTTAACTACCTCTGTATTGTGCTTTTTGAGAGATTATTTTCTTAATAATGCTTTGCTCTTCCCAGATCAGAAGTGTGATCTGCTAGTATGTTAATGCTCTCACTTGTTCTGTAGCTAATGCTTCGCTTAAATATTGCTCACACTGCTGCCTTCAAGTTGATGAAAAATCTGCCTGTTTTAGTCAAAAAAAGCTAAAACGCAATTTAAAAAGGCTAATAATTTGTAAGCTAGCATGTGGTAGTATGAGTGTGTACAAGGAAACAAATTTACCAGACGTGGGTATCTCTAGGTTTGCTTAATTAACAACTCAGAGTTGGGCCACCACTGCAGTGAATGGCAAATAATCAAAGCATCTATACGGGTTATATACCTTTCCTAGCCCATTACCTAAAGTCCAAAGTCTTTGTAAATTGGAGAACTGAAAGGTTGAGTGCAAAACTACATCATTTATTATAGTCCACCACAATCCCCTGTCTCAGCTGAGTTCTTCTCCTCTAGTTCCTATTCTTATTTCAGTTTCATGGTCATCCTCGGGTCATTGTTGTCTTTATTGCTTCTTGCACTAATCTTCGCCTTGGATAATTCTGAGAAAGACCTCAAGATGTTCTATTAAAAACTTAGTTAAAACAAACAGTTTCCATTCCTACAATTTCTTTATCTAATTAAGCACCTGCATTTTATTAATTAATCATCTTTTGTTTAAACTGTCTCTACTTGATTAGCTTAACTGCGTTTTAAACCAGCCCTGGGTTGGGGCTGTGCAAGTAGCAGGCTGAGAGCATACTCTGGGCATGTTGAAGCAGCTGTGATAGTATTTGGTCAAGATAACTAAAATCTAATATCAATCTAATATCTCTTAAACCGTAATCTAATCTATAGTCCTAAAGTTACAGGTTTCTTACACAGAGTGCTACTCTGCACTAATGATAAAACCTGAAGAAGTCTACTGCTAACAAAGCCTTAACAGTAGTCATCACAAAGGAGATCTGAAGTACCAAAATGCAAAGCAGTTCCATCTGATTGAATAAGCAGAGAGATACCATGTTTTCCTGTGTTTATAAAATGCATTAATAAATAGGTATGTAATTAAGGCTACTATTTTTTCCGCTTTAGGTTTTAAAGACCAGATTGGCTGTGGGTAAAACAGGGCAATATTCTGGGATGTTTGACTGTGCTAAGAAGATCTTAAAAAGAGAAGGTGTAAAGGCCTTCTACAAAGGCTATATTCCTAATATTCTGGGTATAATTCCTTATGCTGGCATTGACCTTGCTGTTTATGAGGTGAGTTTAGATCACTGAATGCATGTAGTTTTCATTAGTTAATTTATGAAAAGGGTAAATATTCTTCCGAATACCTGTATCTTTAATTAGATTTCTAATACACTTGTAGTATTACAGTTGCCTTCAGTTTAAAATAGACAAATGAGAATTTCCACTAATTTTACTAGATTTAATGTTTTTCTTTGTTTGCCCCTCCTGGAGGAGTGCCTGTGCCGACGGGCCCTTACAGTACCAAACAAGGAATCTGCTCATCAGGCAGGATTATACAGACCTTGGCAATACAACATGCTTGCATACCTAACTAACCCTGTTGGACTGGAACAGACCTGTTCTATAGTAAATATGGGCCTTAAACACCTGATATGATATTCATATTGTATTGCCTATCCTGTACTTATACATTGTTTTGCACTTTTCTCTGATTTATAATTGGATTATAGTAACCTGAATTCCTTGTGTGTCTGTGCATGTCACCAGAATTCTCTGTGGCTGACATATAGCTGTTGTGAGGAGTTTGAAACATCACTCTCCTCTCAAGAGGAACTGGCACCTCTTACACACATCAGCATCAATTAAAATGTTTTCTCTACCTTAGATGCTAGGTGTTACTTCAAAGTGTGTTAAGTAATTCAGATGCACAGACTAGGTTTTTTTTTCTAGTCTAGGTAAATTTTTATGTGACACTGCAGTAGTAATCAGCAGAATTGCTTGAGCAAACGTTTTCAAAGCACTATGGAAGTTCTTTTCTACAGTTTGCATCCTTGCTTCTGCATGGGGTGATGTGCACAGCTGTGTGAGCTTTTATTGCACCCCATGGGGTGCTGAGTTGTGTTCCCCTCCTCCTTCCCTCAAAGTATTAACAGCTCTAGAACATGGGCAGTGTTCCTGCTGCTTCATCTTTTAAGGATTTCTCTTCTAGGCACTAACTACTGTAGTCTGGTTAAAGTCCATAACCATACACTAAGGTGTTTACCTGTGCATTTTAAAAGTAAGCATGTAGGACTGGCATAGTGAGATTGGTGCTTTTCAGGACTGAGCCTGTAAGATTTGTTTATGAATAAAGATGTATTTGTTTACCTTCTTGAATGCAGATCACTTATTTAATTTTCTATCTTGGCAGCTCTTAAAGAGTACGTGGCTGGAACACTATGCATCAAGCTCTGCTAACCCAGGTGTTTTTGTATTGTTGGGATGTGGTACTGTTTCCAGCACATGTGGGCAATTAGCCAGTTACCCTCTTGCTCTTATCAGAACACGCATGCAGGCTCAAGGTGAGTCCTGTTGTACTGAAAACGTTTCTGTGTGGTCACATGAAGATTGTATCATTTGGGATAGCTCTAGCAGAAACATGAGAAGAAAAAAATCCTGCTTGGAAAAACAAGAGCTTACCCAGAAAATTCTTCTTAATGTTGGTTTGTTCTCCCTATTACCCCCAACACTGTTCCTCATGTTCAATTCAAATGTAACATTTCAGATGCTAGTGCTCTGTGAGCTGAGCGCGCCACATTCCATACAAGAGCCACAGAGCTCTTGTCATAGTCTGGGAGCACTTTTCTAAGAGTTAGAATGTTTCTTAAATTTTAGACATAAAATGAAAAGGAATCTCATCATCCTGTGAAGGTAGACAGCAATGTTTGCTTTGGAGGATATTTCATAAAGTCAGTTAAATAGTTGAGGTTTTTGCTTGAGAGCTTTGTGCTCAGACTTAAAGATAGGAGCCTAGATTTCCAAAGGAATTTGTCGATAATGCTTTTCAGTGGGATTTAGACACATGGATATCTCTCAAATGTCTGGGATTAAAGAGATCTTGCTGTGATGACTCAAGTTTTAATCAATGGCCCTAGAGGTGATGGTAGGCTCACCACCCAGGTGTTTAATACTTGCCTAAGAATTTTAATATTACTAGAACTGTTGTATAACACGTTATCTTTTTGTTCTAGCCTCAGTGGAAGGAGCTCCACAGCTAAATATGGTCAGTCTCTTTCAAAGAATTATTGCTACAGAGGGGATCCGAGGACTTTATAGGGGCATAGCCCCTAATTTTATGAAAGTGCTTCCAGCTGTCAGCATCAGCTATGTTGTATATGAAAAAATGAAGCAGAATTTGGGAATAGCATGAAATGAAGGAAAAAGGTGAGATGCTTCTAATGTTGTTGCAAACACCAGAACAAAAATGATTTTTCAAGTAACCTGCTCTCACAGAGAGAGATCTTTGTGGAGAGATGCTGCAACTTCTGCTTTTGCCCTCAAGTGGGAAGAAACTTTTTAAAATATTAATTCACCATTTCTAAACAGATACCTATATTGCACTTTAAAATGTCACTGAGTTTTTAAAAAAAAAAAATCAGGAAACTATCTTTAATTCAACAGTATGCTTGTATTTTCAGGAAATCATGTATATTTTACTTATTGGCTTCTTTTTTTAATTTGTCTTCTCTAAATGTATATTTGGCTTGGATCAAACCAAAGGTAGGAGAAGTTTATACTGCCTTGAAACTGAATATTTGAAAGTGACTTTTTGTTTTGTCATGCTGCCTATACTCAATTCACAGGCAACATTTTGCATGCCTAGAAGTAAGCACTTTTGTTATTTTTGAAGGCTTAATGTTAAGTTTGTGGGGGGAAAAAAAAGGCATCTTAGATACCGACAAGGATGGAGTAACACATTAAAATATAGCCCATCACCTTTATCTTCAGGCTAACCTTTTTTTAAACTTTATTTAAAGAATGCGAGCCTGAGAAACTGCTGTTCCATGGTATCAGAATACCTCAGATGGATTTACACGGTATTTTTGTAGTACAATCAGTGATTTTCGTAATTTGCTTCACTGGACCTGCTTTTCATCGCACTTGCAAATGCTAACACTTTGCTAACAATTTTCTAACACAAATGCTAAACCAATGACAAGCTTTGGTTTACAGCTGCACATTTTATAGGATCATAATATGAAGGAACAGAAAAGGCTTGGTTACTAGATCCATTCCATCCAAGTGCAAGTTACTGTTTAAAAATGAGATGGAGGATCCAGTATTAAGCTGATAGTGACTGTAATACAGCCAGTAGCGGAGGTCATCATAGCTGCCTTGGGGAGAGAAATGCTTCTCTTTTTGGACTCACCATTCTTTCCCTTACTCAGAGGGCTACAGTCCACTATGTGCTTTTAGGCAATAAAGAATTGCATTATTATGTAAAGGTTTTACAGGTTTGT